AGGATTAACATGTCTAGATTATAGTAATAAGTATTAAATCTTTATCACGAAAAAGGATATTTTAAAAAATTACTTTTACAGACACTTTCAATTTTTACTTTGAAATAGATAAATTCATTTATTATAAAGAAGACAAACAAAAATTTATTTGAAAAACCCAAATATTTTGTTTTATTTGGGTCTCTAATTAATAAAAAATGACAAAACACCATTTTAAAGTGCATTTTTATTCGACTAATATATTTATAAATAATATGTAGCCCAAAAAGTAGCCTATGCGCCAAATGATATATTTTATGCCAAACTAAAAAAAGGGAACCCAACTTTGGCGCAAAGTAGGCAAATCATGCAACGCTGGAAGGAATACTAAATAAAACTGGAGTTGGGACTCAAAGGATTATAGACCCAAATTCGGGGAAAGGAGAGAAAAAACAAACGATAAAGAAGTGAGGTAGGTTGGAAAATTAAAGGTCCATATTTGCATAACAGAAAGTCTATTTAACCTTTCTCACTACTTTTTATCTTTTGGCCTTTCTCCTTTCCCCGAATTTGGGTCTATAATTCTTTGAGTCTCAACTTTAGCTTTATATAGTATTCCTTTCTCATTCACACATTTCTGAGTATTTGAAAACATTTCCTTTCCACTCAAAAATAAAAAATATATAAAGGTTTATGGCTTTGCGGCTTTGTGAAACTTCTATTTTTTAGTTTCTTTCGTTGAAATAAATAAAATAAAATTAAAAATAATTGTCGGTTTTGTTTAAATGTTTATTGGGCCGCAGGTTGGACATCCCTGGTATAGACTATCATTGAATCAATTTTTAGAGATATATAAGAATTAGTCAAATGTTTATTACTTAAGATATCAGTATGTCAGAAATTTGATTAAAAGTAAACAGTTTTAGATTTCAGAATTTACTCTTTTATTTCTTGTAGGATTGGATGGTACATTATATGACTACTTTAATGGCACTGATGACCTTAATAAGCATAGGATAATTTTTGTTGGTGATCCTACTTTACGTATTAAAGAAGATTATTTAAGAATATTGAGATATTTCAGGTAAATTAAATTATTTCTTAGGTTAAAAAAATTAAAATACAGTAGAGCATCAATTATCCAAATACTGATCAACCAAAACATTGGTTAACTGAAAGCATTCCAGTCAGCAAATTCAAATTTTTGCTAGTGCTATGGTGTTGCAGCAATCTCCCCTCCCTGCCAACCTAAACTGTAGGCCTAATTTAATGTACTACTTTATGTAGGATATGTATTGATGTGTGATACAAATTATATACAGTACAGTTTTGTGTTTAATATATTTTTTCATAAATGATCAGTTATCCGAACAACCCCAGTCCTGAATTGTTTTAGATAATCAATGCTCTACTGTATGTGATTTTTTTTCTCGTACTTTCAAATTTTTTTGTAAAAGTAAATTATTTATTTATTATTAGATTGTAATTTTAAGTAATAAATTATATATGAGAAAATCACAATGACTACGTTAATTTGAAATATTGAGTAATATTGTGAATGAAAGAATTTAGTTAAAAGATTTGAGTAATTGGATTACTCTGGAAAATTTAAAAAAGTCTCCAACCATTTTGCCAGTTTATTATCAACCATCTTCCAACCATTTCTTTTTGCCACTTGAAATTATTTATTGCCATTAGTTTTACTTACTTATTAATGCAGGTGCTGGTAGCCTTATTATTCAAAAATGAATAGTTATGAGAAACATATTTGATCACAAGGCTTAAATGGTATTTCATGTGTTCTGTCGTGTAAAAATTTTTATGCTTTAGTAGTGTTGCCACCTTTTCAAATTCGCTGACCCGGACGGCAGGTGAGGTTTGTTCGAACAGAAGTTCCTGATGCATGTGCAATGTCATTTTGCAATGCGAAGAATAACGTGCAGTGCATGCCGGTTCTAAATCAGTTACAGTTAGGGACTAGGGAGAGTTGGGTAGGAGTAATGTAAGTAACCTAAATTAAGAAAGAACAACTACAGATTACTTAGCTCTATTGGATAGTGGGATGTGTACAGATATGAATCATACAAGCAAAAAGGGGAAAAAAAAAAGGTTGACAGGTTGCGCACGATATTCTCAGACAGAATTAATAGTTTTCCACAACAGTGAGTCGATTTCCGGACTGTCTGGGTGAAAACCGGACAGGTGGTAACACTATTCTTTAGTCTACTGAAAAAAGACTCAAAGTGAAAAATATGTCACTCCAAAAAGTTCCCCAAATGTTGTCAGTCAATGAAAAATTCCCAATCTGGAAACACCAGTTGGTATTACATGAAAACTGCCTTTGGTTCTCAACATTACTCTGCTTTCCTGTCTGAACTTGCCATGTGATGTGTGACATTGCTAGGTGTATGGTGCACGGGACTCCCATTACACCAGAGCTCGACATTCTGCTATTTTTCTTGAAGCATGCTTTGTGATTACATTTCATGCTGAATGTCAAAGTTTTATAGCAATTGGTTGAATGGCCTAGGAGTGTACAGTAAACAAACATCCTCATTTATGTGAGATAGCCGGGGACGTAATCAAAGTTATGCCACTTATGGGCACACGATCGTGAGATCGGTTCTCTTGTTTTTTTTTTATAGGAAGGCAAGTAAAAGGTTTAAAAACCGATCTAGAGGGTGAATTCTAGATCTTGTCAGGTCCCAACACCAGTTTGTCAATTAAATTCCGCGGACAAACACGCGTATGAGATCTGATTCAGACTCGAATTAAGAGACATATCGTATATAAAACAACAAGAGTAAATTTAATACAACATAAGAAAATATAAAGTAATACAAAATATCAATGAACGAGGGATATAAATACGACAATGAAGATATACGTCGAGAGAGATACGAACTATATTATAACCGATACGAGAGAGAGAGTTACAATCATTGTTAAATCATACAACCTGGTTTAGTTGTCGTTCGTCTTCTTCTCTGTAGGAAACGGACACTTTGGAGATAAAGTTCATTTACTTCTTTCCATGGGAGATCGGGGTGTGCACAAAATCAAAGTATAACTTCTAAGTGCTAACTCTGGAATTATTCTATGTGACTCGTCTAAGGGCGTTGGTCATCAGGAGGAAGACATGTGGAGTTCGGACACTTCCAGCTCTGTCGATGAACTCCCCGAATTCTGACAAATTTCCCCTATATCTCCTGATTTACGACCAATCATCTGCTAGAAACTCTTTCATGTGTACGGATGAAAGGGGGATCAAAGAGGGGGTAGATAGTTCCCATCTGAGCGAGATTTTTAGCGGATAAGGGAAAAACAGAGGATGTACAAACTTCCCTCAAAGGAAGTAACATCTGTTATCTGCCTTTTCCCACGTTAAAACATTATTTTTCTCACCCAAACGAAAGAATATTTTATAACAAAATATTAACATTATTAATAAAATTACTGATTTAGACCCAGGGCCTTTCAGGTCTCACATATAGATCATGAATTTTATAAATGACAAAGAGTTATATAATTTATTTGTTTGTTTGTTAACTTATGGCAATGCAACACTTGGGCGATCTGCCTAGGAATCGTCTTCTGGGAGGTCTTTTTAAGGGTAACTGGCCTTTATTCAGGCATTACAGATGTGAAGAAAACCCGAAAAACTCCACATGGCCAGCCTGTTCTGGTGAGGCATGAACCCACGACCAAACTCCAGGTATTCATGGAATGGAACCACTTGGCCATTTGTGGGTCCCATTATATAATTTAGTTTTGAATATAGGAAATTATTATTTATGTATTTGTATATCAATTTTTATATTATACATATAAAAATTGATCAAGAAAAGATTATTAATTTCACATAATATTAAAAAGTTTTCTCTCAGATAGAATTTTCATTTGAACTTATAATTTAGGTTTTATGGCAGAATAGCAGTTGATCCTAATTGTCATGATGCAGACACTCTAAATGCAATAAGAGAGAATGCAGAAGGTTTAGGAGGTAAGTATTGATTATTACTGTATATTTAAAATTAAAGTTTATTTATAATGAATGAAGCTCTAAGAATTGATTGCACACTGTACTTGAATTATAATATCTAAAGAATATGAATGAAAGAAAAGTATTATAAAATATAATTGAATTATACATATAATAATTTAGATTGTCTAAAATCATTAATAAAGTCTTTTTGTTAGAAAAGAAGTTAATTATTTCAATAATGAAGTAAAAAAAAAACTACTTGTGTCATTAGAAATTTTGTGAATCGTTCTATTTAGAAATATGTTGTTAACCCATTGATTTTAAAAATAATTATTGTGTAAAATTTTTTTTAAGTTAATTCAATTTCTAAGAGAATTATTAAATTAAGTTTAAAAGAATAATTGTAGCTTAATATATTATTCACATAAATATATGAATNACATAAATGTTTATGCTCATCTAACTAATATACATACAATTCATCTTTGTTTTATCAATGTGGAATTAAAAATACTCACTATTTTGTCAAAAAAAAAGAAAAAATGCCTAGGGGAAACTGTAGGAGTAAAATTGGTCAGGTAAATTCTAGATCTGAAAGAATAAGAACAACTAAGACCCCTGAAAGCCATGAAGTCTGAATTGAGCAACATTGAGTAAGAATGGCTTTGTCAAGGGCTGCAGAAACAACACAACATCAATCATCAAAACAATATTAAGGTATCTATTACTAAAGGAAGATAGCAAGGAAATCTTTTAAAAGACAATAGAGTATTTACTTAGAATGTAGTGTATAAAGAAATTTTATAAAGAAAGATTTTAATATAAAGGGCTAAATCTGTTTGTATATTTAAGTGAATTCTTTATAAATCTCTACTCATTTCAATTCTTCAATCTCTACTTTCTCATAAAAAGTATTCCATCAAGCATGATGGAATATTTTTTATGTATATCTTATATATATGATACACATAACAAATAGTTTAAAAATATATATACAGTGGGTGATCGGTTAATGAACATAATCCGTTCCAAGACTTTGTTCACTATCCGAATTGTTTGTTAACCAATTATCGATTTACCATAGGTTTTTCATGGGAATTTGATTAATTTGTTCTGGAAACTCCAAAAACTAAAAAAAATATATACAGTAAAACCCTGCTTAAAGCAGGGGATGCGTTCCTGGACGACAAATAGCTAAGCGAAACAGCATTAAACGAGACTATTTTAACATAGAGTAAATAGGGATAGGGGAACACATGACCAAAAATAAAAAAAAAATAACTTTAATTTTAAGTTATTTTTATATTAATTTGTATAATAATATATGTTAAAAAACACATAAACATATGCACACATAAATGTATAATAATATATCAATTAGTTCATTTTTTTTGACGAAGATACTGACTTTTCTGAAAATCTTGTTTTTTTTTTTTTTTTGCAATAAAGTCGTGAAGTTTCATTTGTCTCTTTTTTCTCTCCTTAAACAAATGTCAGTAGCAGAAGATTATATCCAAAATGCCTCATTTTGCTTTTGCACTCCTTTCAAAATCTAGATCATTTGCTACAGTTTGATCAACAATTTCAGTTATCATTACCAAACTTTTACTAAGGAAATCTGTAGAGAAATATTTTGGGTTCTTCGTTTTCAGAATCTCTGTTTTCCAGTTCTATGTAGTTCCTTGTTCTGTCAGTTCTTGAAGTCATCATTGGTAAAGCTCTTACCAGAAATCTGCACTAACTCCCCAATATTCTGCTCGTCTACATCTCCTGTATCGATTAAGTTGACAATTTTGTCAACCTAACGATACAGCAATATGCTCTTCTCAATGAGAATTCTTGGATACCTTCAGCCATAACTTCTTCCACACTCTGTTCATGCATTTATCAGTTAATTCTTGCCAAGCCAAGTTGCTATGTCTTATGGCATCCATGATGTTATATTTTTTCCAAAATTGCACCAAACAAACATAAATTTAAGGGAAGTACAGTGCTATGACGAATTGCCACCTTTTGCTGATTGGTTCATGTTTGGGAATACTCGTATTATATACGAATCAATGAAATACCACGTTATATTGAATCAGCGTTAAGTTGGGTTTTACTGTACTTTCTTACTATGTTTATTTATATGTAATAATAAAAATACATACGAGGGGGGACCCAAAAAAACTGAACTGAGAGCACACTGCCATTTGTACACATAATAGAGAGTTCTCCCATTACATGGGGTTAGTAGAGACTTTCACGAAACAGCTGTGCAAACGGCATCAGTTTGTAGGGTTACATTTGAGCGTAGTGTTGTGTTTCTCTTACTGTTATTTTGTTCCACCTGCAAAGTTCTGGATGTCCTTCAACATCTCGAAACAATGAAAAACGTTGAAAAAATCCACCAAAAAAAGTGTTAAGACATCTGCGAGAGGATGTGCGAAGGAAACACCCGGAACTTTGGCGATCAGATGACTGGTTCCTTCATCACAACAATGCCCCTGCATACACAGCATTACAAGTGACTCACTATTTGGCCTCTTGGGGATGGCCTGTTGTTCCCCACCCTCCTGTGTGACTTTTTTCTGTTTCCGAGAATGACAAAAAATTTAAAAGGGAAGCATTTTGATGGTGTGGAGCCAATAAAAACAACTTCGCTAAGGGCACTGAACGATATCAAGGTTGAAGAGTTCCAGAGATGCTTCAAACAGTGGGGAAAAAGACTTGACAACTGCATCGCATCTAATGGAGAGTACTTTGAAGGTGACTGAAGGAATTTTGTAAAAAAGTTAATAAATAAAGTTTTTATACAAAAAATCCGGTTATTTTNTTATTAATCATGAATTGAAAAAAAGACAAATGAAAAGCAACAGAAAATTTTTAAAAAATGACTGGAATCACAATGGAACTGAAAAAAGAGATTGTTGAGAAATATGAAGGTGGCATGCGTGTTTAAGATTTAACTGTTGCATACCATATTCTGAGAACAATGATATCAACAATTGTGAAAAATAAAGACATTATTAAATCTGCTAACGTTGTGAAAGGAGTTAAATCAATTTCTAAACAGATATCGAAGACATTAGATCATGTTGAGAAATTACTTTTGCCTGGATAACTGAAAAACAGTGTGCTGGCGATATCCTATCAGAAGCAATTATTTGCGAGAAAGCTAAAAAGATATATGTTGATCTCATGAAAAATCAAGCAGGAACTAGCCAGGAAAGTGAGGTGTTTAAAGCCAGCCATATTTTTTTTACATGAGAATGGATTAATCATTTTTACATTACTTCTTATGGAAAAGGTTGGTTCGGTATATGTCCTATTCGGTATAAGTCCAAACATCAGGAACGGATTAAGGTCGTATACCGAGGTTCCAATGTATTTTTATTAAAACAAAAGAAGCAGTACACCTTGTATAACTTTAGCAATAAATTTAATCAACCAAAAATGTTTTGAATCTACTTTCTTAGGCCTTCTTTAGTTGGAATATCAAACTTAAATAACTTAAATGAAAAAGAACAAAAAGACATTCAAAAAACATATTAAATGCAAAGATGGTAGTATCTACACCAGCGGTTACTGTAAGCCCACTTATCAACTTGTTTTCTTCCCACAACAGTTTATTCGATCTGTTCTCCATGAAACTCTTGGCATTCAGATCATTAATATGGTGAGCTTATACCCATTGTACAATTACCATCAATACTTACATCAAACTAGATGATATTGAGAAGGTTGCCAAACATCATGGGTTTTCTTCTGATTTGATATGAAACTTAATTAGCACTTTTGAAACACCAAGAACTACATCTTTACAACCAGTCTCTAAGAAGAGGATTATATTACATTATGGAANACGCGGGGGACCCAAAAAAACTGAACTGAGAGCACGCTGCCATTTGTACACATAGTAGAGAGTTCTCCCGTTACATGGGGTTAGTAGAGACTTTCATGAAACAGCTGTGCAAACGGCATCAGTTTGTAGGGTTACATTTGAGCGTAGTGTTATGTTTCTCTTACTGTTATTTTGTTCCACCTGCAAAGTTCTGGACGTCCTTCAACATCTCGAAACAATGAAAAACGTTGAAAAAATCCGCCAAAAAAAGTGTTAAGACATCTGCGAGAGGATGTGCGAAGGAAACACCCGGAACTTTGGCGATCAGATGACTGGTTCCTTCATCACGACAATGCCCCCGCATACACAGCATTACAAGTGACTCACTATTTGGCCTCTTGGGGATGGCCTGTTGTTCCCACCCTCCTGTGTGACTTTTTTCTGTTTCCGAGAATGACAAAAAATTTAAAAGGGAATCATTTTGATGGTGTGGAGCCGATAAAAACAACTTCGCTAAGGACACTGAATGATATCAAGGTTGAAGAGTTCCAGAGATGCTTCAAACAGTGGGGAAAAAGACTTGACAACTGCATTGCATCTAATGGAGAGTACTTTGAAGGTGACTGAAGGACTTTTGTAAAAAAGTTAATAAATAAAGTTTTTATACAAAAAATCCGGTTATTTTTGGGTCCCCCCACGTATATACACAGTCTTGCATTTTTATTAGTCATGTTTTTTCCATTTGTGGGAGTTAAAGAATCTGTCTAATATCAATTGCTTTTCTCTCTTCAGGATTTTTCAGAAGTAATTAATAGCATTGTAATTGTAGAAATCTCCAAGCCTATAAACATCAACCTGGTTTGGATGCTATTCTAAGACCATTGTTCTGACATCCTCCCACTTCTTCAAAAGATCTTTAATAGCAGATATCAGCATTAATCCTCTTTTTCAGAAGAAAACATATCTTGCCGAGTTTCTTGGTGTTCTGTTGCAGATCTATTTCAGGTTCCATTATGAGCTCTCCAATGTTCTTTACTTCTTAGATGTAATTTTTGCTACTCCTTTAGCTGCTTGAGTCTTCTTGATTATACTGTATATTTCTTAGATAAGATTGAACTGCGACCTACTGTAGACCTGTTCAAGCCATACTGTCCAGCACCATCAGATATCTTCTGCCCACTCTCTTCCTTTG